CCATAGCGGAAATCAACAGCGCTCTTGCAGAGATAAGTGGACATTCACATTATACAATGGGGTTTCTGCCTTTACAAAAAGCAACAACTTCATGTTATATCAAGCTGCTTTTGATACTTCCAAGTTTCTGAAGCATTCTGCCATACAGCATTAAGAGCTGCATTCTGACAACTTCAGACGCCTCACTGGGCAAGAATTAGGGGTTAAAGTTGTTGCCTGTTCCTTATAATGAAAGAATTGAAAAGCACTTCACCCAAATTTCTATACTTTCTTTGGATAATTCTGAGAAATGGCTTGGATAAGAAAGGAAAGATGCACTGGCAGGTTAAGTGGCCCAGCACCTTTGAGTGTTCTGGCACTTTATATTCCTTCCCTACAGGTGAAATTACCTATGGTGTAGCTGTCAATCATCACTGATTTTGTCCTAATAACCACAACAAAACAGTAGGAAAGAGACTTGATATAAATTGTCCTCCTTATCCATTTCACATTGTGCTTTTAAGGCACATGTTTGGAATACGTATGACATCAACTCTACTGTTTGGTGAGTTGTTTCCAAAGTTATTTCTCTGCAGAAGCTCTACTTTGGCACTGTAATATACATCAGCTTGGGGTTGTTGTGTATGGAAATGGATTCTGGTTGGGGTGGTAATAGAGTTAATATTTGTCTAGGTATATTTGTATAAAATTAATTTATATAATGTGAAAAATTTTGTATGTAGAATGCTCAAAAGCAGAGTATATGCAGTTCCAGTACAGAGTAAATGTATATTTCTATGCTGGGAGATACCCAAGAGTGGGAAGGGAAAGAAGAAGGAGCCTGGCTAGAGAAAACTTTGGGTGTACACTGATGACTCCTTTAAACAATGAATTGTTTACCAATGACTGCAACATTTTTCTTTCAGTGCTGAGAGTAAACCTCATGGGTTCAACCTAGATGTTGTTATGCTTAGACCAGACCCACAGAAATCACTTGAGTTCCACTGATTTCCAGACAAATCCATTTATTTCACCTCTAAATATGACTATCTAGTTTCAACCCATAAACTCTACAAATCTTTCTCTTCCTCTTGAACCATCCCTTCAATATTTTCTTTTCCCCTCTCACCTGATACTAGTGAGAAAAAATATTAGCAGTTTTTCAAGGCCTATGAAAAACTTATGACATGTATAGGGTTGCCATAATTCAAGGTGCAGGTTCTTACCTACAAAGCCCTGAACGGTTTGGGACCCGTGTACATGCGTGACCGCATTTCTGTGTACGGACCCACGCGATCTCTTCAATCATCTGGAGAGGCCCTGCTCTCGCTCCCGCCCCCTTCACAGGCGCGATTGGTGGGGACGAGGGAGAGGGCCTTCTATGTGGTGGCCCCCCAACTCTGGAACTCACTCCCCAAGGACATCAGACAAGCCCCCACATTGGCAGTCTTTAGGAGGAGCCTGAAAACGTGGCTGTTCCAGTGTGCCTTCCCTGAATAATGGAAACAATGCCCTGCTCTGATTAATTCTCTGCAATTGTCCTCAGAAGCACTTTAACTACCCGTTGGGTTGGTCTCCCTACATTATCTTTTAAAACCCTCCTGCTTAGATACATCCTACCTCTGTTCACGCCCAGTGTTTATTTCAAAAAAATTAATTTATTACATCTGGCCTGGCCATAAGGTTTTAAATTCTCTGTGTTATTGTTTATATGTGAGTTATATTAATTGTACTGCTTTATCTGCTTACTGTTTTGTTTTTACTGATGTGTTGTTGGGCTTGGCCTCATGTAGGCTGCCCTGAGTCCCCTTGGGGAGATAGTGGCGGGGTATAAATAAAGATTATTATTATTATTATTATTATTATTATTATTATTATCAGTCTACATAGGTGGTCTGAAGATGAACACAAGCACAATTAATTAGTCGATAGCTTAGCCTTAAAAAATAAATGTAGGTGGCAATCTCAGAAGAACCTAATATGAATAAGAACAAACAAAACTTGAGACTGGCATCCTATTCCACACAGAAAACTGTCATGAAACTGAAAAGCTAGGCACAAAAGCAACAGGACACCTGTGCACTTCCCTATCCATTTCCTACACCCATCATGTGATCTTCAAAGGAAGGTCACTTCTAAACAAGAACGTTAACTACTATGGTACAGATTCCACCAAAGCCAATGGCTATGGGTTTTGGAAGGGATTGTTCAGAAAAGTAACTCTTCTAAGTTTTTGTCTGAACGTGGCAGCTTCATTTATGACATTTAAGCCAAAGAAGAAAATTCAGAAAGTTAATTATACGTTGCCCAAACAGTATTTGTCTCTGTCTTGACAGAAAATCTATTCTGATGATTAGTTCTGCATTCTGATACTAGGAAAAGAAAGAAGACAAAAAACCTTTCAATTTCCTTTGAAAATAAAGTAGGCCCTTTGTATCCACTGGGTTTGCTTCAAGAACTCTCCAGGGTACAAAATCTGTAGGTGATCAAGTGCTGTTACATACAATGGCACAGTAAAATAGTATCCTTTGTATAAAAAGGCAAAAAAAATAAAGATTTACTTTTCCAATTTGTTTTTAATATTGAATCTGTGGATACAGAATCCATGGGTAGGGAGGGCTGACTGCATGCGTTTATATCTTACCATGTTTGTCTCCAACATTTGAAAGGCAAAAGATATCTGGAATCTGAGAAAGAAGGGTTGGTTTGGCTATCATGGTCAATCACTGTTAGACATACCCTTCAAAATATATGGAGCCCTCCTCAACCAATAGTTCCGTTCATCCTGGGAAACAGCATTGTGGAAATGCCCATTAAGGATCAACTGAGGGTACCTTTGCAACTCTCTTCTTCCCTCCTTTCTTGCCACCTCACGACTCCACTCCTTCCCCTACTCAGCACTGCCCAGAAACCAGATCCAGAGTCTTGCACATGAACTTTCAAGAAGCAACAAAAGGTGCTGTGGGGAAAATGTCCCCTGTATGTGTTCCACAAACAAAACATAATTGTTGTGTCCTACCTTGCAGAATCGTATTTCCACATATATTTTTATGCATGGCTATTTTGTTGAGGTATTTGTTTAGAAATGAATGCATACAGGAGGAGACACATCTCCTGGCTCCACCTCCTGATATTCATTGATATACTACGGCATCCTAATATTCCCATACATCAAAGGAAGGCCTCTGTGTTTCTCTAGGAGTTTATGCATAAAAGAATCAAGCAGTGAAACAGTCATTTGACATACTTAATGAAGGTGAGACAAGGAGTGGATTTAAAAATCTGAATGCTGTCCCATAAAAGCTAAGCATAACACAATATTGTTTCCTGAACATGTCAATTTGAGATTCTTGTTAGATGTGTGAATAATCAAACATGCAGGCCTATATTGCACCTGATGTACAAAACTGTATAGCTTGGGAATAGTATTGTCACGAGAGTTGGTTTACTCAGTTTCCTATTTAGGAAACAGTCTATGAACTCTAAGCAAAAGCACCTGCATGCAAAAACATCCTGCGGAAACTAAGTGACAGCACATGGGGTGCAGACCTAAAATTAATAAGAACCTCAGCCCTGGCCTTGTCTTACTCAACTACTGAGTATGCCTGCCCTGTTCAGCACAAGTCTGTCCATGTGAAGCAGGTAAATATAGCACTGAATGAAACATGTAGAATAATCACAGGATGTCTCAAACCTACACCGGTTGATATTCTCTATAAGCTAGCTGGCATTGCTCACCCCCATATGTGCGAAGGGGAGGTGGTGCTAACTGTGAGAGAAATAAGGTTGAACACTGTGAAAGTCAACCACTATATGGCTATCAGCCTCCTCCCAGCAGACTCAAATCAAGGAAAAGTTTCATGAGAACCACCACTCCTCTTAATATTCCCCCAGCATCAGCAAGAATATCTCTGTGGGCAGCAAAACCAGGCAATTCCAACTGAATGGACTCCCATGGGTGTCTGTCTCTAGGAGCAAACCAAGAATGGGCCACTTGGAAGTGGCTGAACAGACTCAGAAGTGGAGTTGGCAGATCAAAAGACAACCTGGCTAAATGGCACTACCTAGAAGAATCCTCCACTTTGTGTGATTATGAAGCAGAACAAACAACTCTGCATCTGTATGCTTGCCCACAATGCCCTGACTCATGAACAGAGGAAGAATTGTTGGAGGCTACCAACAATGCCATTGCTGTTGCCCGTTTTTGGTCAAAAGATATTTAGCCACCTGCGCTCCTTGTTTGAAGTTACAGACAATGTGGTTTACTGTTGCCTGTTTTTGATCTAAAATTATTTACTGGGTTGTTGTAGGGTTTTTCAGGCTATATGGCCATGGTCTAGAAAGCCTTCGACAATACATTAAAATTATTTAGCTGCTTGTCCTCCTTCTATTTTATCTGTTTTATGCTTAGTTATGCAATGCTTTTGACACAAAATAACTACAGAAATCAAAACCCATCCACATATTTAAAAATAAAGTTGTTAGGCTACCTAAGGACTAGGCCATTTCCTAGGACAGGCTCAGAAATATAGAACTAATCAAATTGTTGTTTTTCCATTGCAAAACAAAATTGGGAAATCACTTTTAATTTGCAACAAAAATGGAAATAACATATGGAAAACTGAAACTAGTTAGCCAACCTAGTTTAAAAAATATAAAGACTTAAAATGAAATTAAAATAATATTTCACATGGCTGGAAATCCATCATTTAAATATTCCATCTTTTACACTGGAGCAGTAATCAGTATTCAATGCGATCAATAGATTTTGACACCAAAAAAGTGACTTTATGAGCATATTCATTTTTCTTTATTTCTTATCTCCCATCCATATTTCTTAACTTTGTATGTTTAGCAACACTGTTTCCTCTCATTTCTTTTCCATTTCCTTAGATGTTTATGGCTGTCTACTATCCTGAAAAGAACATTCTCAAATAACATATTAACCACTGCTTGTACTTTCAACCATTCATGATAATACATCAACACACAGATTAGACACCAGAGTTTCATGTACTTACATCAGTGTCGGGTCCCTTGTCTGCCCCAGGACATGAGAAGGTAACGAATTCATGGCACCTTTTGTGAACCACAAAACAGCAAACTAGAAAGAGAAGGAAAAAATATACAGGTGACTACAAGCTCCAAAACATCTTAGAGAGGTATTCACTCGAGCCAGATTTGATCAGCTCGAGACAGTGGTTAGATACGGGAGATTTAACAGCATCCCTTATAATGAACAGAGTTGTATTTGCGGGGCACCTGAAATTGAGAATATAGCACACATATTATTTGATTGCAAAGTGTATCAAAAGGTGAGAGACTTCCACCTTGGTCCATATATCAAACGGACAATGTATTGGGATTCTCACATCAGAACAACATATTTTATGTGTGGCCAAGATCCAAAAATGACATATAAAACAGCTCTGTACTTAAGCAAAACAATACGTCTGAGAACCACATATGTAGGGCTTATTGGGGTAAATTGTAGGGGTGATAATGAAATATGATGTATATACTCAGCTTGATCAGTTTATCAGTTTTATCATGTCTTATCATATGTATTTCCTGTATTATTATAAGTGTCTTATTTTAACTTACTATGTGGAGTGTGATCAGGTCTTGTCAGGCCTTGTTGTTCTGTTTCTTATTGTGATATGGCCTAAGGGCTAATCAATAAAATTACTACTACTACCCAACAGAGGTGATTCTCAACCTGTGGGTCCCCAGGTGTTTTGGCCTACAACTTCCAGAAATCCCAGCCAGTTTACCAGCTGTTAAGATTTCTGGGAGTTGAGGGCCAGGGCATCTGGGGACCCACAGGTTGAGAACCACTGCCCCACTGGGTGTGGCCCAAACATGCTGCTGACTACCATCTTTTAAATATAAGGGTCAGTTTACATGTATGCAAGTGTCTACTAAAGTGGTTTGAAAACCAATTTGTCTTGTGAATTGTCTGAAAGACAAGGACAAAGTCATTTACAAATCTTTTGACTTTTTCAGGACATAGCATTCCTTCTGTTTAGGTGTGTTTCCAAAGATTTGTAACTTTATGTTCACAAAACATGAGTTTCAATTAGAATGGCATCCCACAAAACCTTGATTTATGCTGGAGTTTATACCTGGGGACAATCGGGAACCTACAATCTGTTCAAAAACTTTGGAACTGTCTCAACTGATAAAGGAAACAAGGTTCATATGTCAACATGACACACTAGTTGTTTTGCATGTAGGTGGTCATCCTCAAGACAATTTAAATTCAGCTTTAGAGCTTTGCTTGTGTTAACAGAGCAATTCCCTGACTGTATGCCAGGAGAGAAGGGCTAGAGTGTTGCAAAAACATCATTTAGCAATTAAAGATTTCAAGGAAATGGAAGTATCCACCCACAAAGGATGCTGCTTGCTGAGATGCCACCTGACTCACTGCTTTGGGCTTGCCTCCTTTCAAACTCAGTAGTGAGTAATTTCTGCCATGCTGGAAATAGTTGCATCATCTAATTCCTCCCAATAAAGAAACGTGGCACCATTAAAATGCGAAAAGAGAGCTGTATATTGCACCTCTGTACAAATAACTCCCTTGGGACCCCAAATCAGAGGGCACAACCTCATAAGTTTGAGACTTTCAGAAAACATAGGTAGAAATGAAACATACATTCAAATATAGTGATTTGCCATCACCTGTCCAAGCTCACTGCACAGAAGTCCATCATAGATTCTATTCCAAGTTCGCACCTTGCCAATAATATGCAAAGAACGCATTGATAATTAAGAAACAATGTAATCACCTAGATCAGTCCTCCACTTTCACTGGTGTTAGGGACCTGTGAAAGTGGAAAACTGTTAATAAATTGCTATTTTTAAGGAATTTATAGGTTTTCCAGCATGATCCTATGGATGACTTTGGCTGGAAAATGACCACAAAATTGCACTTTAGGATTTATTCTTAGAGAGGTTTTCTCTCTTGAAATCCCCGAGAGAGGTTATGCTGGAAGACCTAGAAATCCCTAGGCCTTCCAGCATAGGCAGAGAACCATAAATTCACACAGGAGGAGCCAGATACTCCCCTAGAGAACAAATCAAATCTGTGAATAATCAAATCTGCAAATGTCACAACTGCAAATGTGGAGGGACAAATGGATAATGGCCACGGCCACCGAACAGCAACATAATAATAATAGCAACAACAACAATAATAATATCCAGCATATAGATCTCGTTTGCTGTGACATACTGTGCTTTTGTGTCAATAATAATAATAATAATAATCTTTATTTATACCCCACCACCATTGTACCAAGGTTACACAAGGCTAAAGGGTGGGTGGGTAACTGAGTGATGCATCCCTCTGACCTCCCTGCCCTTCATGGATAGTTCCTTGACCACGTCTCAGGCTGGACCTCCAGCTCTTACCCTTGCTGTCTGGTCACTATAAAAACAGATTATGGCAAATCACTATATTTGAATGTATTACAAATAGTACATTCAAGAATATTCTCCATTATTAACAAATGCCACATATGCTTGAGCTTGAAGTCTTCTGCTACCTCATACCTTCATCTTCCTTTGAAAGGCTCAATTATTAATGGTAGATTATAGTAATTAAAATTAATGGCACAGTACAGTAATCATAGATTGCAGTTATGTTCAGGAATTAAGTATCTTCTCACTTCAGAATCTATTATTATTACTAATACTGCTGCTAATTAGCAATGCACACACCTATGCCTTTCAATCCCAGCAATCCATTAAACGAGATTTAGAGATTTAAGCTTTGTACTTTGTAAAGACAGTATTGTTCTGTGACTAAGAAATATTAATAATGAAGACACGCTGCATACATTATATTTAATAGTAAAGCATATATATTTCAAATAGTGATTTGTAGTCATGCTCTTCTTATTTCACATGCGGCAATTACCCTAAAATCTTACAAAATACTGGCTGTATTCAGACCTCAAGCCTACAGATGAGTTAACCAGCTAGCTCAGTGGTTCTCAACCTGTGGGTCCCCAGATGTTTTGGTCCTTAAACTCCCAGAAATCCTAACAGCTGGTAAACTGTCTGGGATTTCTGGGAATTGTAGGCCAAAACACCTGGGGACCCACAGGTTGAGAACCATTGAGCTAGAAATTATCTTGCACAAACCATAAAAACTAAATGGTTTCAACTTGACAAAGAAGAAAAAATTCATTGCAAGTAGAAGAGACAGGGCTCTTCATCATCTTTCTGTAACTTAAACAGATCTCTCTGTTGCATCTTTGATGCTGGAAATCTCACATACAATCCCACTTTCCTCTCCTTTTTCAAGCACAACAGATCAACTCCTAAGCACAACATGCACACATCTATACCAGTGTAAACCCTTAATACAATGTAATTAAACAGGATAAGAGCCAAAATAGTAGGTGGAGATCATATGAGAAATACAGAGGTCACGTTAGCACAAAGAAACAATTGTTTTGTCCTTTCATGTTTATCCCCACTTAATAATAATAATAATAATAATAATAATAATAATAATAATAATAATAATAAATGTGGGACTTTCGAATCCAGACTGACAAAGTTTTGGAACATAATACACCAGACACCACGATTGTGGATAAGAAAAAAGTCTGGATTATTGATGTTGCCATACTGGGTGACAGTCGCATTGAGGAAAAACAACAGGAAAAACTCAGCCACTATCAAGACCTCAAAATTGAACTTCAAAGGCTCTGGCATAAACCAGTACAGGTGGTCCCAGTGGTTATTGGCACACTGGATGCTGTACCAAAAGATCTCAGCCAGCATTTTGGAAACAATAAACATTGACAAAATCATGATCTGTCAACTGCAAAAGGCCACCTTACTTAGATTTGTGCACATCATTCGAAAATACATCACACAGTCCTAGACGCTTGGGAAGTGTTCGACTTGTGATTTTGTGATACGAAATCCAGCATATAGCTCTCGTTTGCTGTAACATACTGTGCTTTTGTGTCAGTAAAATAATAATAATAATAATAATAATAATAATATAAACTTATGCTCAGGAATTAAGTATCTTCTCACTTAATTCCTGAACATAAGTTTATGTTATTAGTATTGCATAGCAACAGATCCTTAAAAAACAATATTATCCTGGTCTTCTTTGGATGATAGCTTCCGTCATCCTTAATCACTTGCCATACTGTGGGTGACTGATGAGATTGACCTTCCAGATATATGGGGGATAGCCAACCAGAAAATACCACTATATGTAGCTGAAGAGAACATAGTTGATCATATGAGGGGGGAAATAGGACATTTAGAAACAACACCAGAGGGCAACATATCCACCATCTGTAGACACTCAATTTGCGACCTAATAGAAATTGTGTGCTCTGAAATTCTTTTCCTGTCTCTATAAATATCTCCAAGGAATCTCTCCATAAGAAAACGAAGAACCCTTAGAGAAGGAGGGAGTGTTGCTAAAAATACAGTCTGCAATTCACAGAACAACCCAGTATCCACCATCATTTGCAATTAGTATTCCATAATACAACAGGGGATATGTGGCATTAACGTACAACTGGCAGGAAGATTCAAGCGCCCAAGAATTCTGCTACACAAAGTCCTATGTGTAGTTCCAAATGTGACCCAAGCCCAAACAGAGCTTGAGCACTAACCCAGCATGGAAAGACATAATTAAAAAAAATATTAAGTTTTAGGAAAGAGAAACATTACTTTCCAGGAGCAGATTGCTACTTTAGCTGGCACAGTCAAGGTCCTGTCCATGCGCTCGCAAACAAAAGAGGCTCACATCATCAAGCCACCCATTTTTGAAAATGGTACAGTTTAGGCGTTTGAGTCATGTGAAGGAGGACGCCAAAGAAAAACACAAGGGAGTTTCAAATGCCAGGAATGTTTTCATTCTAACCCAAGATGAAAAAAGCTAACATGTTTTTTTTCCTGTGGAAAAAGAAGGCACTTAAAAATTATAATTATTCCCATGTGTAGTCAGGAATTCATGGAATAAAGTGAGATATATTTTAAAGATAAACATAATTAGATTGGGCTGCAAAGCTAGTAAATATACATAAAACATATTTACTCCCAAAGGGTTGCTTTGTAGGATGT